CCCTACTCGCCATCCCCTTCCTTGTTCCCTTCTTTTCTGTGGCTGTTACCACTTAACCACCAGCGGCTGATCTGCTTCCCTCTCAGATCATGGCTTTGTGGTTCCTGTGTCTTGCCCACTGCTATATCTTGGGCACCTGGAGCATGGCCTCACCCATAGCAGACACGCAGTGTTGCTGAGTCCTCAACACCTGCCTTTGACTTGGATCACAGAATCCTGTTTATTGAGCTGAATTACAAATTCTAGGTAATAGAACAGCCTCAGTGTCGGAGAAATGGAGGTATAGGTTTCTTAACCCTTCTCACCTTTCTCCTCTGCCCTAAAAACCAAGAAGAGGTGACAAAGATCAGCTTGTAATGCTAAGAGAAAAACTTGCCTTTTGGCAGGTGCAAGCTGCTACCTGATCCTACATGTCTTGATGGAGCCATTGTTTCCTGCAGGCTCGCCATACTAAGAACTTTCAGACTTGTCTTTTTCTTTTTTCCCTAAACAATTTTGGTTGGGAAATGAAATTAGAGGTGCCTTAAAAGATTATTAGAATGACCATCTGTAGGTCCAGAATTATCTTGAGAAATTATTATGCTGGAGAAATAGGTCTGGAAGGATAGAGACCCGGGTATTAACAGAGGTTGTCTTTGATTTTTTAAAACCTTTGCTTTCTAATTTATCTAATTTAAAAGGCATTTTTAATTTAAAGCAATTAATGTTTAAGTCATGTGGCTTACCTTTTGCTTCATCTTTAAAAAAAAACAGCCCTAATGAGCCATAAATCATATGCTGCAAAATTCAGCCTTTTAAAGTATTGTTAAGCAGCATTTAGTGTGTTCACAGAGTTAGGCAACCATCACCACAGTCAGTTTTATAGTATTTATCACCCCGCAGAGAAACCCCATCCCCTTTAGCAGGGGTCTCCCTCTCCATTTCCCCGTGTCTCCCTGATCTAGGCAACCACTAATCTACTTCCTGTCTGTATAGACAAAGTCATACAATAGGTGGTCTGTGAGGACTGGTTTCTTTCACTGAGCATAATGTGTTCAAGAGTCATCCATGTTATGGCATGTGTGAGTACTTCATTACTTTTTATAACTGAAAAATATTCCATCATGTGGATAGATTACATTTTAACCATTTATCAGTTGATGGACACTGGGGTGATTTCTGCATTTTGGCTACCACAAACATTCATGTACAGGTTTTTGTGTGCAAGCGCATTTTCAGTTCTCTTGGGTATATACCTAGGAGTGGAATTGCTGGGTCATGTGGTTACTCTGTTTAACTTCCTGAGGAATTGCCAGACTGTTTTCCATAGCAGCTGCATCATGTTACATTCCCACCAGCAGTGTGTGAGGATTCTGATTTCTCCACATCCTCACCAACATTTATTACTGTCTTGTCATTTTGATTATAGCCATCCTAGTGGGTACAAAGGATTTATTCTTTATCCCTACTTATTAAAAAAATAACACTATATCCTATGCAGACTACCCTATCCCCCAAAAAACAAAAATTAGATCAAAAGATGAGAGAAGCTGAAACAGAACCTCATGAGGAAAAGAGGAAAGTGGAATCTCTGTGGCCCATCTTTAGGATCCATCACCAGAAAACCCGCTATATTTTTGACCTCTTCTACAAGCGGAAAGCCATAAGCAGAGGTAATTGGCCAAATTCTCTCTTGACCTTCCCAACTTGAGTAGCTTTCAGATTTATTTAATTCTTGAAACCTCAGCAAGTGTCATGATGTTTCTTACCACCAAAAAAAGGCGAGGGGCCAGGCCAATATTGGCTAAATACTTTTTTTTTTTAATTTTTGGCTGCGTTGGGTGTGCGTTGCTGTGCGCAGGCTTTCTCTAGTTGTGGGGAGCAGGGGCTACTCTTTGTTGCTGTGCGCGGGCTTCTCATTGCAGTGGCTTCTCTTGTTACGGAGAATGGGCTGTAGGTGCGTGGGCTTCAGCAGTTATGGCTCGTGGGCTCTAGAGCACAGGCTCAGTAGTTCTGGCGCATGGCCTTAGTTGCTCTGCAGCATGTGGGATCTTCCCAGACCAGGGCTCGAACCCGTGTCCCCTGCACTGGCAGGCAGATTCTTAACTACTGCGCCACCAGGGAAGCCCCTGGCTAAATACTCTTTTTAGGGTGGGTAGTGATGGGCCAGGGGTGGGGGGAACTTTGTTTTTGTTTTTAAATCTGAGAAGGCTTTTTTTTTTTTAAGATGTTGGGGGTAGGAGTTTGTTAATTAATTTATTTTTGCTGTGTTGGGTCTTAGTTTCTGTGCGAGGGCTTTCTCTAGTTGTGGCAAGCGGGGGCCACTCTTCATCGCGGTGCATGGGCCTCTATCACGGCCTCTCGTTGCAGAGCACAGGCTCCAGATGCGCAGGCTCAGTAGTTGTGGCTCACGGGCTCTAGAGTGCAGGCTCAGTAGTTGTGGCTCACGGGCCTAGTTGCTCCGCAGCATGTGGGATCCTCCCAGACCAGGGCTCAAACCCGTGTCCCCTGCATTAGCAGGCAGATTCTCAACGAGTGCGCTACCAGGGAAGCCCGGGAGCTTTGTTATACTACGGTCTGATGCCCTTTCCCCATCTTTTTGACAGAACTGTATGAATACTGTATTAAAGAAGGCTATGCAGATAAAAACCTGATCGCAAAATGGAAAAAGCAGGGATATGAGAACCTATGCTGCCTGCGGTGCATTCAGACACGGGACACCAATTTTGGGACGAACTGCATTTGCCGGGTCCCCAAAAGCAAGTTGGAAGTGGTAATGTCTCCACCCCTGTCATGTTTGACGACTGGGTGGGATGTTACTGTCAGGATTCTGCCCTAGTTAACCACAAGGGGTTTTGCGTTGTTCTGTTTTGTGGTTGGCCATCCCCCCAGCAGTGAGACCCTCTGGTCAGGAATCCATGCCAGGGAGTTTGGCAGTAATTATCTTACATCTGGGGGCCAGTCTCACCTCCTCCTTTGGGCAAGTTATTGGGTTCCTTTCCTCACTTAACCAAATGGGGGTGATGATAGCCACCGGCCAGTCGGCAGGAGCTTGTCCCTTTCCCTCCAGTGCTTGCCCTTCAGCTGCCCTTTTTTCCAGGCCTCCTTTTCCTCCCAGGGACACTTCAATGTTAGCATCACCATGTCTCCTGCCAGAACTTCCTGGGCGGCTGGGGAACACGGCTGGGTGTGCAGTAGCTCGGCTCCATGCACATACGCCTCTGAAGTGGAGCCGCAGGAAGCAGAGAAGCATTGCTGGGCTGTTGGCCGTTAGCGGCCTTTGAGCACGGCCCCTCGGCTGACCGCTGTGGGCCCCGCTGGGAGGTCAGGCGAGATGTCTTCTTTCACACGGTCCCTCGTCACAAGGTCCCTTCACGCTGCAGCACTAGTTACAGCTTGTAGGGCTTCGGCTCAGCAGGCAGCTCTGTCCCCCTGAACCATCTGGAAGCTCAAGGACGGGCATGTGGAGCAGTGGAGAGCGAGCACGGGCTGCCTCCTGAGGGGTGGCTCTGCTGCTGGTCTCTGGCGGGGGCAGGAGGGGTGGTGGAGCAGCAGAAGCCCTGCTCCTCCGAGAGCCCCAGGGTTCCATGGTGATGTCTAGCTGGGGCTCCTGCCTCAGACCTGAGGCCAGAACAGAGCCTGCTTCAGATTTAGTTGGGTTTCACCATCAGATCTTGTTTCCTTAGACCAGAGTCTTGCTCCTCCAAAAAAGAAGAAAAAGGAAAATAAACACCATTGCCCTGGGGCCTTTTGTCTGCTGGGTGGGCTCCCCCACCGGCCAGACACTAGGCCACACCTGGCCTGGGGGACAAGACTGTTCGGCTGCCACACAGATCCAAGTACACACTCTTCTTCTTCCCGAGCCCACAGTGGACAGTTCCCCAGCCCAGAGGCGGCCCTGAGGCCTCTGGCGCTGAGCCCCCTGAGCGGTAGCAGACCCACCCCCAGCTCACTGTAGGGTGTGTCCTGCGTGCTTTGCAGAATAACAAGGATCATTTACACAGATTTTGTTTTTCCTTTTTTGGGAGCAAGTGTGTATACTGAATTTGCATAAATTAAATCCACATAGAGAAGTAACTGCAGTGTCAACAGCAGCTGTTTCCATCTTCACGAGGGAACCGAATTTTCCCCATCCAGCACTGTCGCAGAGGGTTTCTGAGGAGTGTCCTATGGGGAGTGGATGTCCCGTGGCCACCCTTCCCACAGGAGGATTCCTGCGTGTGGGCGTGTGGCCCGTTGCAGGGGCACGGGGTCTCAGCTGTCTTCTGTTTGCAGGGCCGGATCATCGAGTGCACGCACTGCGGCTGCCGGGGCTGCTCTGGCTGAGGCCGACCCCTCTCCGCCCTGGACTCTGGACTGCGCAGGTTTCTGCCTGTCACGCCACCCTTTCCTGGGAGCAGCTCTTCCTCAGAGCAGTTCCCCGGGCCCGAGTAGGAGCATGGTCTCTATGTGTGAAGGCTTTGGTGTTCATCAGCTGTGATTTGTAGAAATAAAACTCTTAAACCTTTTGGGTCCTGCCTGCCTTCTTTCAGAGCCAGCAGTCTGTGGAACTGACAGCGCCAAGCCCTGGAGACCAGTTGCCCTTAAGGTGTGATCTTAACTCCACCTCACAGGTGCTGTGTGACCCTGAGCACTTACTTTCCTCATTAGTGATGAGGGTGGCAACCTCTCAGACGAGGAGGGCCTAAGATGACATACCAAGGTGGCCCAAGCTGCTCTTGGACTTGCCATGAACTTCTTGGGCACCTCAGACCAATGCCTGCAAAAAGCTGCAGCTCTTACTGTGGCCCAGACCTTTCCCTCAAGCTTGCAGCTACACCGGCACATTCACATGTCTTGAATATGAAAGGGACTCTTGGGGCTCTCGCAGAGCCACGTGAAGGCCATGCACTTTGTTCCAGCTCTGCTGGAGGTCCCCCAGGGTCTCCCCATCACCTGCCCCCGGGGCCTCTGTCCACATCGGCCAGTGACGGTGTCCTGGTCTCCCTTTGGTTTGGTCCGGAACTTCTGCCACGGGTGGGGGGTTTCCTCTGCTGGCATCACTTTCAGCCACTGCTTATAATAAGCTCGGAAGCCATCAATCTTCTCCAAGTAGGTGTTTCTCCCTTTGTACTGTAATTGGAAAAGTGTGGGGTTCCAAGGCTCAGAGGGGCCACGATTAGACTCACTGCATACCGCCTACCGCTGACCCCAAACCATGGCAGCTGGCTCAGGGAAGCTATTCTTGCTTCCAGTTGGTCAAAGGGAGAGGGCAGAAAAGCTGCTCAACACCGAGTAGTGTACAGTAAAGAAACAAAGTTGTACCATGGGGCAGACCTAGATTCTCTCTCATCTGCTAACAATCCTTCCTGAGTCTGCTGCTGTGCTCCTATATACCCAGGCATGGCACCCCAGCGCGCCACCAGCTGTGCCTCCACAGCCTGCTGAGCGCCTCCCACTCGGCACAGGCATTGCCTCCCTCTGACTGTCATCTCAGCACTGCTGCAGAGGTCTCAGGAGAGGAGGGAAGACGGAAAGGAAACAAGACGTGCCAGGCAGACACCAAGAGAAAGCTGGTAGAGGAACACAGAGAAGACCAGAGGAAAAACAGACAAAACGTATGAGATAAAGACCATTACTACATGAATGATAAAAGGGTTGATTCAAAAGGTTTAACAATTCTAAACTTGTACCTAATAGAGCCTGAAAGTACGTGAAGCAAAAACCTGATGATCAGAAATAGAAGTAAGTCCACCATAAGGGAGCATGAATGTATGACTGAATACAATAAGCTTTAGGCTTCTGGTAGTTTGGTGACTGCTGATTGAACCTGAGAAGACCCCTAGTGGGCCCTACACAGTGAAGAGACAACCCCCCAACCGGAAGATTCTTGCAACAAGAAACCAACAAAAGACTAGTGTCCAGAATATTTAGAGAACTCTGAGGCATCAGTAAGATAAGACTAACAATCAGCTGTTCAAAGATGCCCAGCTATGCCCTCCAGCATACTCTCCACGGCTGTCTCACTAGCTCTTGCTAAGCCTTCAAGCATCCCCACTGCACAGCCGTCCCTGACCCCACGTCCCCTGGCTTGGTGTGTCCTGGCCGACTTGTCTCCCTCCCAGTCAGGCCACAGCTGCTCTGGAGGTGCTCAGCATAGGGTCTGACTCAGCGGACCTAAAAACCAAAACCCCGGAGCCTGATATCCTCAGAACAGCAAGGAGAGAAGTGGCCATTACAAATCAGATTCTATCGCTGCCCTCCTGCCGTCCCCATTCACTCGACAAACAACAATCTATGCTGGGTGCCAGACAGGCAGGCACCAGGGACCCAGGTGAGCAAAGCAGACAGTCTCCACCTCTAGGGGCTTTTACAATCTCTTCAAGGAAAGAGTCACACACATGTGCATGTAATTACCAACTGTGAAACATGGTGAAAAGGAATAGTGCTCGTATGGGGGCCGCCAGCAGGGCACCTCTGAGAAAGAGCCATCTGAGCCGACACCTACCAGATGAGAAGGAACCACAGCCATGTGAAAAGCAGGGCAGCCTACTCAAAGTGGAGGGAATACAAAAACCCCCGAGGCAGGGAAGAGGCCCTGGGACTGACAGTGAACCGAGGGAAGATGAAATGAGCCATGTGAACAGGGGCTCGCAGGCCGCAGTCTGAGGAGTTTGGCATTTTCCCCAAGGGAAGCCACGGACAGTTTAAAGCAAAAGGATGCCAATCCCAGCAGGTCAGAACCGGGCGGGGTTGGGGGTGGCGCTGGTTAGGGAGACGACAGGCATGTTAGAGCTTGGCGCACTTACCCGGTCGAAGGTGGGTGGGTACTGGGCTGCGAACTCCAGCTGGCGGATGACCACTTCATTCACCGGGACCCTATTCCGCCTCATGTCCTTCAGGATGTCGATGAGATAGGCGTAGTCCAACTTCTTGACGGCTGCGTTGATGAGAGTGCTGTAGATGTGGGCGGTGGGGGTCATCTGGGATTTCTGGAACATCACAGACACGCCATCAGCAAGATGATGGCGGTGGCTGGGACAGAGAGGCCACTGGTGGCACGTCGGGCTTGGGGAGCTACCCTACAAGTCAGGCCTGCTCTGCAGACCAGCCACCAGGGACGAGAAGGGCAGGACCTCACAGCAACAATGGGCTGTATGCCCCGCTCCATGTCCCCCGCTCTGTGGGTCCATCCCAGGTGGCTGAGGACCCTGCCCTCTCAGCCCTAAGAACCTAGACAGCAAGTAAAGGGTTGTTCTCAGAGATCAACAGACTCAGGCAGTAACCACAACAGGGCAGGAGACTGCCTCCTGTGGTTCACTGCACCCCTGTCCCCTGAGAATTCTGGTACCCTCCCTGCTCCCATCATGGCCTCCATCCCTCTAGAGGGTTGGGGCCAAGACCTGCCCCCCCCTGCAATCTCACCCCGCGGCCACCACCTTGGCAATCATAACACCCCTGGCCCTCAACGCCCATTCCTGCAGCGCCTCACCAGGGTTCCCTGTCTCCCAAATTGGGCCACTGACCATTCCACACTGCAGCTAGAGAGACCCCACTCTCCCTGCCCCACCCCCAACAGCTTACCCTGAGGGCAGAGGCCTGGACGGTTCGGAAGGGCCCCCTCGCACCCCCCCCAACCCCAGCTTTCTTCTTCGGCACCACGGGGCCTGCCTGGGCCCGGGGCCCACTCACCCTCATGTCTGCAAGCAGCTGCAGGCCATCCCCTGGCTTGCGGCACCCGATGGCCAGGCTGCAGAATGTCTGCAGGTTAGGGACGATTCCCCTCTTCGCCAGGACTGGCAGCAGTGCCTGTGGGGACAGACATGGCATCATCGTAAGCTGTAGCCCAGCAGCCCTGGCAAGAGCCTTCTCTGCTGGAGGTGCCAGGGCACGGCTCTGCTCCAAGGCCTCATGGCTCCCTCTGCTGACCACACTGGGCACCGGCCTTGGCCAAGCTCCCCAGGATTCAGCTGCTCTGCGAGTCCTCCCTGCCTTCCAGCCCACCTGTCTGTAGCAGGTCATCCCTTCTTCGAATGCCCTTCATGTTCCTGCCCCCTCTGCTCCTCTCCCAGCCACCATCCATCCCTGCGCTCGGGCCTTCGATGTCCATGGAGCACCAGGGGCCTCAGGGGATGGTGGTCATGTGGTCCAGGGCAGGAGACAAAGCCAGCAACAGCATGGGATGTGCGGGCCAAGGGAGCCTCCGGGGCAGGAGATGAGGAAGAGGGTGCCCGCTCAACCTGGCTGGGTCAAGGCGGGGCCCAGGGAGGGGCTCTAGAGAAAGCTGTGCTCTGCTCTGAGGGCCTGAAGGCAGACGCTGCCTCTGTCAGCTCTCAAGAGAGCCCAGGTCAGAGCTTCTGTCAAAAGGGGCATCACACAGAAATACGTTGTACGAATGGACAAAAATCCCATGAGGGCCCCAACATCGCCATCTGTGAGACGAGGAAAGCCACAGGCCAGCGGAGCCTCGTGCTGTGGTCAGTAAAGAAACGAGTGGATGTGAAGCTCTCAGGACAGAATGAAGCACAGTGAGTGTGAGGAAGTCCATGAGGCTGGGGCGGGGCTGAAGGGTGGCCCCGCTGGGAGGGCGGGAGTATGGCTTGTTCACCACCTGATTCCCGGGTTTTCACCAGGGGCTCCGGACAGTCTGCGCCCCTCTCGCAGGAACTGCTGACACACCTGGCAGGGGAGGGTCTGAGGGGGAAGGAGGGGCCCAGCCGGGAGCCCTGTGCCTCCCCTGCGCCCCTCACCTCCGCCCCCTCCAGGTCGCCCAGCTCGCTCTTCCTCCTTATCAGCGTGTTGAAGAAGGTCAGGTCGGCCTCCACTTGCTGCGCGTCCAAGACGGTCAGCAGCGAGGACTCTGCGGAAGTGCCGGGCTCCACCACCTCCGCCAGCAGTGTGAGGGTTTTGATGTCGGGCCGAAGCCCATGCTCCGCCATCTTTCCCAGGAAGCCCTCCAGGCCCCCCATCAAGGCCAGCCTGTCGGCTGGAGTGCTCACGGTCCCAAAGGAGACCACAGCCGAGGAGACCGCCCCGGGGGTCAGGAGGTTGGCCTCCAGCCCCCAGGGAGGCGGCACTGGGGCCGCAGGGGCAGCGCGGTCAGGCTCCACCTTGGTTTCCACCCCAGGCTGGGCCTTGCCGCGGGCTCTGGCCTCCTGAGGCTCCAGAGGCCCCTCAAGTGCCTGAGAAGGTTCTAGAAACAGCTGCCTCTCCAGGGCCTCCACTTGCAGCCCGGCTGACAGGCTACTGTCCGCCCCGACCCCGGCTCTCCTCCTTGCCTGCCGCCCACCTGCCAGGGGCTGGAGCAGGACCATCTCCTCCCTGGGCCTCAGGAGCACCGCCGAGGCCACCTCCGGGTCCCCCAGGCCGCAGTCCCGAGCTGCCCCCAACAGCAGGTTGTAGCCGTGCCGGCTCGGCCGGAGCCCCAGGCTCAGCATCTGCCTCCACACCTGCCAAGGAGAGACAGGCCTCACCTCCAGCTCCCGCTCCAAAGGGCCCCCAGCAGAGCAGGCAGCGCAAGGCGCAACCAGTCAGCAAACATGGGGGCGGGGGGGACATGGGAAAGACGCCAGGCTCTGGGCCACTAAGAACCTCAGAACCTGGGAGTTTCCATGGGGCGCCGCTTCTCCTCTCCTCTGGCTCACCCCAAAACCGTGTCGCATTTCCATCTCTCTGGCTCTCCCAGGTCCTTCTCCCTACTCCCCTGGGGAGGGACAGCCAGAGAGGCTATAGGTGCTGGAGGACTCCAGGCTGACTTAAGGATTGGACTCAGCTGCCCTTCCTGAGTGCCTGCTGTGTGCCCTGCCCCACTCGGCGTCCTCAGCTTCCTCGAGAGCACGGAGTGGGCGCGGGCGGAGGGGGGCCTCAGCCAGGAAGAGCACCTCACAAGCTGTGTGCCCGGGCAGGCCTGTCTCCCTTCGAGCTGAGGTCATTTTCACCCCTCAGCGAGGAGTCTAGCACACTTGTGAGTTCTCAAGGGGGCAGTCTGACCACGTGCGGTCACTCTGACACCAACCAAGATGCCACAAGATGCCCCACGAGGCTCATGGTCTCGCTGGCTCCTGTCCGCGGGCTCACTGGGAGGCCATGTGCAGCGGCCAGGAGCTCACATCAAGTGTGCCTACGAGTCACGGCTGGCCAGGCCCAGGTAGGCGCCACATGCAAGAGGGCCACTGCCTACCAGACAGGGTCCTGAGGAGGGCAAGGGTCTGGGAAGCCACCTCCATGGGGAACGCTGACAGAACTGAGGTTTATCAGGGACACAGATGCTATCCCGTGGCAGGAGGGATTCTTGGTTCAAATCACAGCTCTGCTTCTTAGTGGCTGTGAGACCTTGGGCAAGTTACTCAACCTCCGGGAGCCTCAGCCTCGTCGTCTCTAAAACGGGGCTATGGTACCCAGCTTGAGCAGTTTAACAAGTGCATGACGCAAACCAGCTGCTAGCGTGATAGATTATTTCTCACTAGAACAGATCGAGGCCAAAGAGAGGGAGGAACCAGATTCTGTCTATAAAGCAGCCAGGGGATGGCCGGCAGCCACTGTTTCTAGGGGGTCTGCAGAGGGGAGGCACGTGGTCCAGGGCTGCCCCAGATCACTGGGGCTCAAACTCTGTGCAGACCATCCCCCTGGGGATCTTGCTGAAATGCCGATCTGGCTGCACGAGGCCTGTGTGGGGCTGAGACCCCGCATTTCTGACAAGCCCCAGGTGAGCCTGAGACTGCTGGTCTGTGGGCCGCACCTGAAGTTAGAGCTTTTGGTGAACTCCAGGTCCTTCCCACCCCTGAGGAGCTGGGGAGGCAGCTGTGGTACTAGTGCTAATCCCACCTCCGCACTTGATAAGGGGGGCGCTGCGATGGGATTAGAGCAGTGTGTCTCAACTTTAATGTCCATGAGGCTCTCTCAGGACTGAATGCTGACTCCTGGGTCCCACACGCAGAGACGCTGAGTGGGGGATGGGTCGGACAACCTTCAGGGACCGTAAGCTCAGCAGGTCTGGGCCGGCTGCACAGAGAGCCACCAAGCGGAGTAGGAGAGTGTGGGCTGGCTGTGTCCCGACTGGAGCAGCAGCCACGCCTCCTCTGCGTGCCCTCCCTCCCTGCCACCTGTAAAACACAGGGAGCAGCGTGCTCTGGGAAGGCGAAAAGATCACAAATATAAAAACACCCAGCACAGGCAGGAGCAAGTGCTCAAGTAACGCACACAGGATCATCACTTGCACCCAACACAGGCACATGGAGGGGGAGCGAGCAGGGCAACAGGAGAGACAGGACGCAGAGCCAGGCGGGACAGACCTGCAGGGCATATCGGAAACCCGTTTTCTTGTCCTGGATGCAGCCCATGAGCAGGTAACTGAAGGTCTCCTCTGTGACCGCATGTCCTTTCTGGATGATTTCCTGGGGGAGGGAACAAAGAGGGCCGGATGAGAATCTGCAGAAGAGCCAAGGCCAAGGCCCAGGCCCGATGGGGCTGGCTAAGGGCAGACCCCAGGTCAGGCTCAGGGCTGCGCCTCCGTAAGAGGTGGGGCCTGACTCCGGCTCTGGGCCAGCTCAGTACCAGCTGCTGGGCAGAGCTAACTGCTGCCTGCACCCCCTCCTCCTCTCCTTCCCAGGCCTCTCTTCCTGGCTCTGCTCCGGTCACTTCTCTGCAGCCTCTCCGCAAAGGCCACCCCAGCAGCCACTTTTAACCCCTGTACATGAGGCTTTGGCATTGCACAGAACTGGCTTCAAGTCCCAGCTTCACCACTGGCTCGCTGTGGGAGTGTGGGCAAGGCATTATGCTCCCTGGTCTCAGTTTCCTCATCTATGAAGTGAGAGCACAGGACTTGCCTTATAGGACCTTTGGAACGACCCCTCAGTGAGCACTGGCTCATCTTCAGCACCATGAAGCCCACCCTCTGGTACGGCACCATGTTGTCCCATCCAGCGGGACTGCACACGGCAGAGCACACGACCCACTGCCTTCACAGGGCTGGGGGCTTCTCTGTCTGCCAGACCCAGGCCTCTGACAATAGGGTCTCATGGGATTCACCTGTGAACCCCAGAGCCCAGTACGGGGCTTGTCTCATCGGCCCCTGAACCTTCCTGCATGAGGAACACAGACAACACAGCCTCACACCCTGCCATGTGGGACTGGCCCCGAATGGGGAGGAGGAAGGAAGGGATGTCCCACCTTAAACACATCCAGGCACATCCTGAGGTCTGCGCACATGGCGGCCATCTTCAGCAGGGAGTGGTACGTTTTCAAGTTGAGCTGGAAGTTTCTGGCCTGAAGCTGCTGCCGTAACTTCAGGGCACTCTGCAGAGCAGAGTCCTTCCAGGGGGACTCAGCGCAGACATTGAACAGGGCTGTGTAGGTGGCATCTGAGGGCTCCAAGTCTCGCTTCTTCATCTGTGGAGACAGGGAGAAACTTGGAGGTGGCTCTGGGATCAGCCCGACGCACAGACGATGGCCACCCTGAAAGGAAGCTAGAGAAGACTGTGCTACCACACTGAACAGGCCTGGGAGCCGGGCCTGTGACAATGCAGAGCCGAGTGACATGCAGAGCTGGGCTCTCTGAACCCAACTCAGCCCGAAGGGCTCTGGGAACTGACCCCGCACCGCAGATGCTCCAAACAAGAAACCGTCCTCCCCATGGTGCTCAGCAGTCCACCCTGGGCCTGGGGTGCTTTTGCAGCAGGGTCTCCCCAACGCTCCCGCTCTGTGGCCGACCAGGCCACCCTGACTGTTAAGATCCACGGGGTGGATCTGGTCTGGGAAAGGGTGGAGGAGGGTGGTAATCAAACCCCAGCGCCAACGTTTACTACCTGAGGGGTCGTAAGTTAGCTCGTCATTGGAAAAATGGGGGTGATACGGTCACCTCGAAAGGCTGTTACGAGGGAGAGCATCATGGGAGAGAGGCCCTGGGAGCAGCAGCAGCCAGGAGCTCGTCCCTGCAGCACATGTCATAGTCCCCCACCCCACCCCCAGAGTCACAAACCCCGGGCTGACACTGGGCTTATTAAGCCCTCCAGGTGACGGAGTTTGAGAAACTCCTGGCAAAGCCAAGCACTCGCTATTTCCCAGAGAAGGGCAACCTGACCGAGGGTAGGTGACCAGCTTTTGCAGAGTGTACAGAACCCTGTTCTCAGGCCATTTTGGGCTCCACCCCCAAGTCCAGCACTCTCGAGAGAGAGGTAACCTTAGACATGGCACTTCATCCCTCCAGGCCTCAGTTTCCTCATCTGAAAAAGGAAGACGGTGATCCCAACTTCAAGGATGGGCAGATGCTCTGTATATGTTCACATATTCCACAGCGTGTACTAAGGACTTACTATGGGCCAGGCCCAAATGACGAGACTAGGGCTCCCAAGAATTCTTGCTGGAGTAAAGGATGTTCCCAGCTCCTGGCTACAGGAGAAGATGTGAATACTTCTGCTAGAGTCTACGGTCCTCTCAGGCACAGCTCTTTCCTGACTCATGAAGGAAGCAGTTTCCTGGCTCTAAGAATGACAAATACAACACACCCCAGAGGTGGGTGAATGTAAAGTAAAGCCATCTTCCAAGAGAAATAAAAGCCCTTTTTCAAAGGATCAGCTTTGGAAGAAAGGTGCATGTGTGCACCTGTGTGTAGCGTGAGGATGGGAGTGAGACAAAAGGAACACAAACTAAATTAACTGGGAGTAGCAGTGGAAAAGGAAGGGGACCAGTGGGCCCTGCCATGGCCCGGACAGGCACTGGAGGACGTTCCGTGTCATCACGTAGTTATCTGAGATCACCTCCATTTTATGAACGATGAAACTGAGGCTGGAGGGGGTAATGCACTAGCAGGTGACACATCCAGGATCTGTACCCAGCTCTTTTGGGGCCCAAAGCCCATGTTCTGTGGAGCCTGGCCCCTGCTGCCCCCAGGCTCATGCTCACGTCATTGTAGAGCTGGAAGGCCTTCCTCAGGTAGCCGGCCCGCCCGCAGCCCCCGATCAGCACGGTGTAGTTGCACTCAAGGGGCTGGAGTCGCTCCTCCTTCAGCATCTGTCTCTCAAACAGGTCCAGGGCCTCGGCCAGCTGGGGAAGAGGGGTGGGGGGAGGACACAACGGGGGGGACCTCAGAGACCCTCAGCAGAGGGAGGGAGACTGAGGCTGGGGGACCCTAGCTGAGCCCAAGCTCAGGCCTGCCCAGGAGACAAACACCCACCCTGGGCCTCTGCCACCAGCCTCTTGGTGCCCGTGGTCTGCAGCCATGGGCCTTCGCGGTGGCCAGGAAGGAAGCCCACCAGTCTCCCACCACCTGTGAGAGCTCCTGGCCCCACTGCCATGGGGGAACTCCCTGAGAGGCAGGGACGATGCCCAGGTGAACAAAGATCTGAGGATGGTGAGGGAAGGAGCCACGTGGCTCTCTGAGGGAACAGCCAGTGCAAAGGCCCTGAGGCTGGAGTGTGCTTGGGAGCTGTGGGAGCAGAGAGGAGGCTGCAGCAGAATAAGTGAAGGAGGGGAGATGCGGGAGGAGAGGTAAGGGGAGTGGAGGGCAGGTGGCAGTTCTTGCAGGCTTCATAAGCTATTGTGAGGACACTGGCTTCTCTTTATTTCTCAACTTTTCATTATGGGAAATCTCAAACATACACAAAAGTAAAGAGAATAGTGTAACTACAATGCCTATTAATGTCTGGCCAATCTTGTTTCATCTATACCCTGCACTTCTCCTGCAAACTGAATTTTTTTTTTTTTTTTTTTTTTTTT